CTATCGTTATTAACATTGACTAGATATACCTTCTGTTGTTATTAACATTGACTAGACATACCTCCTGTTGTTATTAACATTAACTAGGTATACCTTCTGTTGTTATTAACATTGACTAGATATACCTCCTGTTTTATTAACATTGACTAGATATACCTTCTGTTGTTATTAACATTGATTAGATATACCTCCTGTTGTTATTAACATTGACTAGATATACCTTCTGTTGTTATTAACATTGATTAGGTATACCTTCTGTTGTTATTAACATTGACTAGATATACCTTCTGTTGTTATAAACATTGACTAGATATACCTTCTGTTGTTATAAACATTGACTAGATATACCTTCTGTTGTTATTAACATTGACTAGATATACCTTATGTTGTTATAAACATTGACTAGATATACCTCCTGTTGTTATTAACATTGACTAGGTATACCTTCTGTTGTTATAAACATTGACTAGATATACCTTCTGTTGTTATTAACATTGACTAGATAAATCTTATGTTTTTATTAATCCGTTAATTTAGACATATGGCTTCTTTCATTCAATCCACCATTACTAATAGGAAACAAAAAAATAATACAAAACGTTTTATATTTAGCAGATAAAAGAAACTCTCTAAGTTCCGTTACTACTAGTCACTGGTATAATCCTCAATAGTATAAATTCCCATTGTTAACAGTTAAAATCAGTAATGAATCACTGTTCTGTCTATGTCTGTATTGGTCACTGTGGAAGTAATGACTCACTGATCTGTCTGTGTCTGTAGTGGTCACTGTGGAAGTAATAACTCACTGATCTGTCTATGTCTGTACTGGTCACTGTGGAAGTAACGACTCACTGATCTACGTCTGTATTGGTCACTGAGGAAGTAATAACTCACTGATCTGTCTATGTCTGTACTGGTCACTGTGGAAGTAATAACTCACTGTTCTGTCTGTGTCTGTACTGGTCACTGTGGAAGTAATAACTCACTGATCTGTCTATGTCTGTACTGGTCACTGTGTTGGTAATAACTCACTGATCTACGTTTGTACTGGCCATTGTGGAAGTAATGACTCACTGATCTACGTCTGTACTGGCCATTGTGGAGGGAATGACATCTTTCATCTCTGCCCGTACTAGTCACTGTTTCGTGCTGACTTATGATATGTACACATATTGATCAGTGTGATTACTAACCAAAACATTGATGCTGAACTTTGTTAAGATGTTATTATTTTATTTTTATATCGGCTATGGTAGAATTCCAAAACACAGCTTTAGTGTTAAATGCTTCTTCATCTCCTGATGACATCTGTACTGTTCACTGTGGGAGTAATAACTCACTGATCTGTCTACATCTGTACTGTTCACTGTGGAGTAATGACTCACTGATCTGTCTATGTCTGCACTGGTCACTGTGGAAGTAATGAATCACTGATCTGTCTATGTCTGTATTGGTCACTGTGGAAGTAATGACTCACTGATCTGTCTATGTCTGTACTGGTCACTGTGGAATAGACAGATCAGTGAGTTATTACTTTCACAGTAAGTAACAAGGGCACAGATGAGTGGGTCATCACTTACACACTGACCAGTATGGAAAGAGATCAGCCGGTCATCATTTCCAAAGTAACAAATGCACCTTATTTATTTTTTCCTTTGTATGTGTACATAACCTCAAGTTAATTAATAAACTGTCGAATCTTCCATTAAAACGGATCGTCTAACGAGTTTTCTTTTTCATGTTTAGTTTAAGCTGTAGCAGTTAATTAGATGTTTTCTTTTATATTCTATGCACTTATTACAGTGATTGATTACTTATTACAGTTTTACCTGCCTAAAGATTTTGATACATCGTCGACATTTTTCTTGTGACATTATGACTAAATCTAACCTCAAGTTTCGGTATACTCTCGAAATTTATCTTATGACATCCTAGCTTCTATGTCACTTATTTTGGTGTAAAGTTAATAATTTAGGGGAAAACTATCAATCACCAAGAGTGTTCGAAGATTAGCAGTCCATCTTCACCCTTCTCGAGGTTAAAAGTTCGATGAGAGGTCATCGTTCTAATGGACCAAGTGGGCGAGAAAGATAAATAAATAAAAAATGGTAATAATAAATAAATAATGATAATAAATAAATATGAAATAATAATAGTAATAAAAAATATTGTATGCATATATATATATATATATACATGTACAAATATACACACGTATACACACATACATACACGCAGATAATGATGAGGCAAGTGGGTGGAAGTGAAGGCCTAGCAGAGGCAGGTTGTTCTTGTAGAAGAAACAAGTCGACAGCGATTGTTGACAATGTATTGAAACAAGCTGAAGCAAACGGGCCTTTACAGGGTCTGGCGGGGATCAATGGAACCAAGTGCCATGACTGGGATCTATAGATCCAATGCCTAAGAGTTTGGTGCCCCGACAAAACCCCACTTTCACTAGTTAGGACTTAGTAGTCCTCTAGTAGCAAGCTTTCATGTGGCATTGTGGTTAGACAAAAATACTGCAGAAATTATGTGCAAATAATTTTATCTGTCTAATTAAACCTTTCAGAGAACATTTTTAAAGCTTTATGTTTATCATGTTTGTTTGTTTCAGTTGGTGGATATTAAATGATCGAGTGTTCTTCAAATAACATGTACAAATCAAGAGTCCCTGTTATTTTCACTAAAGTTAAGCCTAATCAAGACTACAGCAGTGATGACTTCCAGAAAGAAGTTAACATTAAAAAAAAACTGATATTCAAACAAACACACCTCTTTCTGTTCCAGCTCTAGCACCAGTTTTTCTAACTGTTGTTGGAAACGGTTTCTCTCGACTTCAAAGCTCTTTGCTTCGTCCTGTGCTTTTATAAGTTGTCTCTTGAGTTCTTGAGCCTCCTTTCGCATCTTCTCGGTCTCTTGTTTCTGGTGTTGTAGCTCTTGGTGTAGCTCTTCTATCTCTCCTTCGTATTCTTCACTGGTCCAGTGGCTCTCATCAATTTGACTTAACTGATCTCTGTACCTTTGAATTTCTTGGTTCATTCTTTGGGCTTCAGCTTTTTGATCGTGGAGCTCTTTTTTAAGGCTCTCAACCTCTCTTTGGGCTTTTTCTTTCTCTCCTGGCTTAAAGTTATCTGCTGCCATATCACTTTTCATATTTTTCCTTTCTTCTTTGGTCTTTTCCAGCTCAATCTTGACATCTTCTACTTGCTTTTGGTACTTAGTAACAGCTTCCATGGCCCATTCAAGCTTTTGTCGAAGTTCTTTATTCTCTACCTCTGTCTTCTGAAGTTCATATTCCATTTTTTCTGCTTGTTTCTGCATCCATTGAATCTCTTGTTTTGGTTTCTCCAATTCCACCCTGGAGTACTGCTGAGCATCTTGTGTCCACTCCATCGATGACTTGGCATTTTGGATCTCCTGTTGGTAATGTAATACCTCCTGCTGTAACCGTTCTCTATCCTCCACAGCACTGTACAATTCATTTTGGGACTTCTCTAATTTGTTCCTCAACCGTTCAATCTCTGCTTCTAGCTTACCAGTTTCTTCCTTAGAAGTGTCCTGGTTTTGGTGAAACCGTGCAATGTACTTATCAGCATCGTCTAATTCTTGTTCTAGCCTCTCCATTTGAATTCGTAGACGGTTATTTTCCGTAACAGTTAACTGAAGCTCATTTTCTGCTTTGTTTAATTGTTGCTGCAATTTTTCTGTTTCTCCAGAACGTTCATATTGTTCTTGATAAGATTTTCCTGCCTTGCTGTGACTTTGAGCTAAGGATGTCTCCAGCTCATCAACCCTGTTTTGAAGCAAATCTCTTTCCCTACGAATTTTCTCCAGTTCTCCTTCTTTTCTTTCCAACTTGTCTTTTATTTTCTCTGCCTCAATTGCTAACCTCTCATAGTCCACTTTTTGCTTTCCCTCGAATGAAGAAACCCTGTGCATCTTTGTTGGGTTTGTTTCTAACTCAAACTGCAATCTTTCGATCTCTCTTTGTTGGCGTTGTTTCGTTTCTTGAAGTTGACTGATGTCTTGTAAGGATCTTTCATACTTGTCTTTAACTTTTTCCACTTCTATGTACAACTTTTCCATTTCTTCTGAATGCCTATATTTGTCTGGTTTTCCTAAACCCTTTCCATTTTCCTTATTGTCAGTTTCTCGCAATTTCTGGATTTCTAAATTAAGTTTTTCTTTTTCTTCGTTTGCTCTGTCTAAGTCCGCTAGTACTTTTTCGTACTTATCTTTAACTTTCTCTAAATCAATATATAACCTTTCTACTTCCGACTGAGACTTATCTTGCACGGACTGATATTTCGATAGTTGAATTTGATATCTCTCCAACTCTGCCTGAATGTTTTCCTTGTCCGTTTGGATCCGATCTTTTTCGTTTTGAGTTTTTCTCAATTCCACCTGACACCTGTCTAGCTTCTCATATAACTTTTCTAATTCCACGTGCATTCTGGCAACCTCTTCTTGTGACTTTTCGTGGCTGGTTTGTGACTTCCCCACTTGTGTTTGTACTCGGTCTAAATCTATGGACATCCGATCCACTTCCGCCTGTAGTTTATCTCGCTCTGACTGAATTCGTCGTAATTCTACTTGAGATTTCTCGTACCTGTCTCGAACAACCTCCAGATCCATCTGGCATCTGTCGAGCTCGTTTCTCAATTTTTCCTCCGACTCTTTTGTTTTTGATAATTGGGAATTAGTTCTTGAATACATCTCTTCCAGACCCTCGAATGTATCTTGAGCCTTTTTATAATCCTCTTTTGCCTTGTTTGTTACAAGCTGTGCTTTTTCTAATTCTATATTTAGTCTGTCTACTTCTGATTGTACTTGATGGTATTTGGATTGAATTTTGAAAGTTTCTGACTGGCTCCTTTCCAGTTTTTCTTGGAGTTTCTCGCATTCAACCCTTGTTATTTCTTTGTCTTCTTGCAGCTTCTGCAACTGCTGCTGGAGTTTGTCATGTTTTTCTTTTAACACTCTGTTTTCCGTGTGTGCATTGTCGTAATCAGCATGGTACCGCTCCAGTTGGTTCTGGGACTTTTCAAGTCTGTCTTTGATTACTTCAAATTCGGCTTGCGTATTTTCTCTCTCCTTGTTAGACTTATTCAGTTGTGCCTGGAGCAGATCAACTCTTTCCTGAAGCTGTTCCATTCCATGCTGAGAGACATCTTTGTCTCTTTGCAGCCTCTGCAGCTGTGATTGTGCTCTTTCGTGTTTCTCCTTTAACTTCTCGATTTCAATCAAAGCTGCGTCTTTCTCCCGCTGGTGTTTCTGAGTATGGGTCTGCAGCTGATAAACCTGTGACTGTAAATTTTCCATCTCACACTGTGTCTGCTCGCGTTCAGTTTGATGTCTCCGTATTTCGCTATTTGCCTTATCGAGCTTCTCTTGAATTCTGTCACAGTCCAGCTGAGCCTTATCTAGTGCTGCTTGAGTCTTTTCATGCTGTATTTGAGATTTACCAAGGGATCCTTGGACTCTCTCTAGCTCGTTCCGAAACTTCTCTGTTTCTGCTATGGCTACGTCTCTTTCTGATTGACTACGGGCAACCAGTGCTTGAACTCTGTCGTACTCGTCTTGTAAGTTTTGTTTTTCTGCTTGAGCGTTCTCTAACTTGGCTTTGAAGCGGTATACTTCTCCCTGAGATCTCTCTAGTTTTTCCTGAAGCTGTTCCACTTCTCCGCGTGCTCGGTCCTGCTCTGCCTGGTTCATTCGCAGCTCAGCTTGCGCGCGGCGCAGTTCCGACTGAACCTTCTCTAGTTTTTCTTGTATTCTTTCCACTTCATCAGACTGATAAAAGTTCGACTTGCCGTACGAATCTCGTGATTTGTTTAACTCACTTTTTAACCACTCGTTTTGTTCTCTCAATCGTTCAGTCTCCATACTGAGCCACGAACTCTCTCCTTTTCCTTTTTCCCATTCACTCTGGGACTTGTTGACTTCTGATTGTAACTTCTCCAGCTCGGCTCTGGCTTGACCAAGCTCGGATTGGGAGTTTTCTAATCTCACCTCAACACGATCTTTCTCCGCAGCTGCTTTTTCTAGTCGTACCTGAAGCTTGTCCATTTCTCCCTCCAAAGCATGCATCTTCATTTTGTATTCTGCTATTTCGCGCTCGTGCAGCTCGCGCTCCTCGTTTCGTTCTTGCTCAGCGCGATCTCGCTGTTCTCTAAGCTGTGTTATCTGCTTCTCCTTGTCACTGATGGCTTCCTCCAGACTGGACAACGCGCCTTCTGAAGAGGAGTGGTGAGCTTGCATAGCGGTCAATCTAGCCCTTGCCATGTCCACTTGATTGTCCTTCTCGCGAAGCAGGTCTTCAAGATTTTCAATCTAAGTAAGAAATGAGGCTCTATTTTTAAACAGTAAGATAGCAAGTGTAAACTAGGGTTTAAACCCATCAGACATGTATTATCTAAACCTGGTAGGTTTGGTAAACAAGAGATATAAACACCTAAAAATGGGATTAAAAACAACCACAATAAAACGTTTTGCCACCATTAAGTTTCCATCATCTGGAGTAGTTGACATAGTAAAAAGAATAATTACAAATAACACAATAAACGGAAAGAAGGGTCACAAATAACATAATAAACGGAAAGGAGGGTCACAAATAACACAATAAACGGAAAGAAGGTTACAAATAACACAATAAACGAAAAGAAGGGTCACAAATAACACAATAAACGGAAAGAAGGGTCACAAATAACACAATAAACGAAAAGAAGGGTCACAAATAACACAATAAACGAAAAGAAGGGTCACAAATAACACAATAAATGGAAAGAAGGGTCACAAATAACACAATAAACGAAAGAAGGGTCACAAATAACACAATAAACGGAAAGAAGGGTTACAGATCATAAAGTAAACGAAAAGAAATATTACATATTTTTAAGTAAATGTAAAGAAATATAACAGATCATATGGTAAACAGAAAGAAAGAGTGAAAAACTTGTTTGTATCGGATACATTGAGTATGATATGAATGGTTACAAAGTTTTACCAGGTTTAACTCCGTGTATCCTAATAGAGTATATCCTTTAATTATTTGGAAGAGGGATTACAGACCACACATTAAACTTATTAATCTTGAAACAAACGGAATTACAAATTACCTTTGAATAGTAACAATGACGAATAATACAGTAAACTGAAAAGAAGACAAATTACACTGTAAACGTAGGAAAAAAAGAAAATATAAAGCAAATTGGGAAAATACAGATTATACAGTAAACAGAGAAGACAAAAGTCATAGTAAACGGAGAAGATGACAGATTATATAGTAAACAGAGAAGACAAAAGTCGTAGTAAACGGAGAAGATGACAGATTATACAGTAAACAGAGAAGACAAAAGTCATAGTAAACGGAGAAGATGACAGATTATACAGTAAACAGAGAAGACAAAGGTCATAGTAAACGGAGAAGATGACAGATTATACAGTAAACGGAGAATATGACAGATTATACAGTAAACAGAGAAGACAAAAGTAGTAAACGGAGAAGATGACAGATTATACAGTAAACAGAGAAGACAAAAGTCGTAGTAAACGGAGAAGATGACAGATTATACAGTAAACAGAGAAGACAAAAGTAGTAAACGGAGAAGATGACAGATTATACAGTAAACAGAGAAGACAAAAGTCGTAGTAAACGGAGAAGATGACAGATTATACAGTAAACTTTAAGTTAGATTGAAAAAAAATGTATATAAGAATTATGTTTAAATAAGAGAAAAATGGTGTTTTAAATTAGAATAAAAAATAACCCTCTAGAAACTTTGTCTAAATTAGAATAAAAATAACCCTCTGGAAACTTTGTCTAAATTAGAATAAAAATAACCCTCTGGAAACTTTGTCTAAATTAGAATAAAAATAACCCTCTGGAAACTTTGTCTAAATTAGAATAAAAATAACCCTCTAGAAACTTTGTCTTTATTTTATTAAAGATAAAATTCGAATTTTTTGTAACTTATGTATAATTTGTAACCAAAACATTATACATCGTCTAAAATCTTCTTATAAAACAACAAAAAATGGCCACCAATTTCTTCGTTTTGCTGTAAGATATTTTACATCGTCTAAAATCTTATAAAACAACAAAAAAATGGCCACCAATTTCTTCGTTTTGCTGTAAAATATTTTACTTTTTCTAATGGTTTTCAAATTGGCACCCCCACCTTCCTCTGCAGTACGTTAATCTTCCGGTCTTTGATCTCCATGTGGTCCCTGAGTTCTTGGACTTCTTGTGCAAGTCTGTTCTTTTCCTGAGTTGCAGTGGTAGTCTGTTGTGTTTTCTTCTCAATGTTGGCGTTTTTCTCTTCTAGCTTCTGACGTAGCTCTTCCACCTAGTAACAGAGGCGTGTTGAGTTAGGCATTACTTCCATACTTAGAGTAGAGTAAAAGAACAGACAATGGGTGAAACAAATACCATTAAACATTGCTATCTAACTAAACATCTGTTAGCTGAGTTCTTGCACAGATCTTAAAATATAACGTTGATAAACATCGGCACATGTAGATACGTAGATCTTGAAAGTCGAGTTGTTCAAAACTTGAAAATAGCGTTGATAACTGGATCAATTGTTGGTTGAGATGTTGCAAAGGAAATATCTGCTGAAGCTTTTCGCCAGACACTAATCATAGCAGAACCGTCTGGAAAATGATCTATAGGAAATAGTACAGCTTATAAAATGAGTCAGATCAACGTAGGCCGGTAAGGCAATCACTGAATGGCAAGTCCTAAAGCCAATCAGGAAATGTCACAGACCTACTGAAGGATGAGTAGATTGTATAGGAATTATTTTTGGCGGCAAAGGGCAGATTTATGTGTTTTAATAAAGGTGGCTTCCAAAATATAGAGATGAAAGGTCGACCGACCATTTGCAATAATTTTAAACCTGCTATACCGTGTAGTTGTCAACACAAGTCGGGTTCACTAGTAAATG